CTGCTGTACAACACATCTGGATTTTGAAACTGGGAAGTCAGCTGTGGTATTGTTTGAATCAATGCATTTCTTCTATATTACAGTAATTTTTCTGGGTATAAATGAAGTTCTTGGTTAGGTCGGTCCTTCCTCTCTACAAAAAAGGCTTGAATCCTTCTGAAAGTGGGAGGTGTATAAGTTGCTGATGATATGTTTACAGGTGGAAATTGGTGCAAGTCCATGCCTCCTTTTGTCTGTGAAACTGAAGAAGTGAAACTTCTTTTTTCAGGGTTGTTGGTTTTTGAGCATACACTGGTGTTGCATGCTAGCTTTAAATGTAGCTGTCAAAAATAGCCATATGGTTTTGTACTGTGCTCGTGCTTTCCTAACAGCTGACCTCTAGGTTCCTGAGGAAAAGGAGATTGATGTGTTTTTGTTTTGTTTCTGTTGGAGAACAACACAACAAATATCAACAGAGAAAGCAGAATATGCAGACTTTACTCCCCAGCAGTACGAATGATGAGATTATGAGTCTGCAGCTCTTCCCTGATTACTGGATTATGCCCAGGGCCCTACTGAAGGACCCCGTGGGCTAGAGCTCACCTCGCCCCTGCACTGAGCTTTTTGGCAGTTTGTAGCTCAGTTTTCTTGGAAAGTCAACTTAAAATAGTTTGTCTAATATTCTTTTTAGTAATCTTCTGGATAACTGTCCTGGTTTTGGCTGGGATAGAGTTAATTTTCTTCCTGGCAGCTGGCATAGTGCTGTGTTTTGATTTAGTATGAGAATAATGTTGATAACACACTGATGTTTTAGTTGTTGCCTATCAGTGTTTATACTAAATCAAGGACTTTTCAGCTTCCCCTGCTCTGCCAGGTGCACAAGAACCTGGGAGGGGGCACAGCTGACCCCAGCTGGCCACGGTGCTATTCCATACCATATGATGTCATGCTCCATATATAAACTGGGGGGAGTTGGCTGGGGGACAGCGATGGCTGCTCAGGGATGGGATGGGCATTGGTCATCGGGTGGTGAGCAATTGCATTGTGCATCACTTGTTTTGTATATTCTTTTATCATTATTGTTACTCTTTTCCTCTACTGTTTTTTAAACTGTGTCTCAGCCCATGGGTTTTACCTTTTTTTTTTTTTTTTGTCTGATTCTCTCCCCCATCCCATTGGGGGGGCTGGGGGAGTGAGTAAATGGCTGCGTGGTGTTTAGCTGCCTGCTGGGTTAAACCACAACAGTAATAAGATGTGAAAAACTTTAAGGGAATAATATTTACTTTGATTTCTTCCTATTCTGGAGGAATTTCTGTGCTGGAGTTTCTACAGGGTTGGTCAGTTTCCTGTCTTTATTTGTTTCTATTTGTTGTATGGCAACAGTAAGGAAAAAAACCTCCTGTTTATGTAGTTCTCCAACTTCAGTACTTTCCAAAAGATTTTTTTCGAAGTTGCTTTTTTTCCCCCCCCCTGTAATGTAACCTGCATGGCTGAACTTAAATTTAAAATGATTAAAATACCAATTTTGTCTTATATAGGCTGAGTTACTCCAGTTATTCTAAAAAGCTATTACTTAAAAATAGATTTTCTTTCTTTAAATTTTTGGGGACACATAAATAGTTGTAGGAAGCCACATAGTGCTAACATTAAGCAGTGGCCTTCTTTCTAGGTGTTTTGATGTTTAATTATTAGCACGTAATTCAGCTTGCTCGTGGTGCGTTGTGTTTGTTCCTGCGTGGTTTGGGTCTGTTTCAGCAGTATGCTCAGGCATTCCTTGCCTGCATGGAGCTATATGAAAGTTGATAGGAGCCTTGCTCAAATGCCGAGGTCCGTGCCGGCCTTCTGCCACAGTTTGCAAGCTGTGTACCCTCCTTGTCTTGTATGTTCATTTTTCTGGAGTGTAAAAACAGTCGTATCTCTTGAGGCTGACTAGATGATGCAAAGAAGATGCAATTTGCCGAAGTAAGGGCTGGTTTTGATGTGACTCGATCATTAAACTTGGTGTCACTTCTTTTGCTGTGCAAGTATATTTCCTTATTATGTGCTTCTGACTGGCAGCTTCTTGTGAAGGATGGGGCCCAACTCCATTTTGAAGTCTTGTGAAGTTAAAACCACTTACCTTCAGAGTTAAAAGTGCGTTCTTCGAGTAGGGCTGCTGTGCGTGCGCTTAATGCAATAGGCTGAATGTCTTATTTTTTGATCCTGTAGGTTGCCCTGTTATAAGGCCTTTTAAAGTTAAAAAAAAAAAAAAAAAAATCACAAGAGTTGCCCTACATGCTGTCTGTTTTAACTGAGCTTTTCTTAGACTCCTAAAAGTAAAAAAAGTCTTAATTTCCTATCAAGATTTCAGTACCTTTCCTAACAATTCTTTTTATTTACAGGGGCTTTTGATGGAAGACCAGCAGATTACATGTTCATGCTGCTCTTTAATTGGATCTGCATTGTTGTATCCTTCTGCTCATCATCAAGCTTTTAGAATATTTTGGTTCTTTTATTTCTGCCTAAAATGCATTCAAAGACCAAGTTTTAGCAGTGTGCTGGTCAGGAATCTCACGAAGCTCAGCAAGGGGAAGTGCAGGGCCCTGCCCCTGGGGAAGAACCACCTCCGGCACCGGGACGGGCTGGGGACTGACAGCCTGCAGAACATCTTGGCAGAAAAGACCCTAGGGGTCCTGCTGGACACCAAGCTGACCATGAACCAGCAATGTGCCTTTGTGGCAAAGGTGGCCACCAGCTACCAGAGCATTGCCAGCAGGTTGGGAGAGCTGATTACGCCTCTCTGCTCAGCCCTTGTGAGACATATAGGGGGGCTGCATCCAGCTCCAGGCTCCCGAGTACAAGAGAGACATGGACATACTGGAGTGAGTCTAGTGAAGGGTCATGAAGATGATTAAAGGGTTGGAGCATCTGTCACAATGAGGAGAGGCTGAGAGCTGGGATTGTTCAGCCTGGAGAACAGGGGACTCGGGGGTGTCTTATCCATGTGGATAAGTACCTGATGGGGGAGGGAGTAAAGGAAATGGAGCCAGACTTCTCTCAGTGGTGTGACAAGAGAAGAACAGGTACAAAATGAAGTACAGAATATTTCATTTAAATGTAAGAAAGACTCTTTTTACTGTAAGGGCAGTCAGACACTGGCATGGGTTGCCAAGAGAGGTCCTGGAACCTCCATCCTTGGAGGTGTTCCCATTCTGTCTGTGCTGTTGTTACCTCCTTGTAGCAATTTGCAGTGGGCACAGCACATGGAAAAAAGGGAGCGGTGACATCAGTGTGAACCACATACAGCCAGGAAAGCTAGGGTGTAGAAATGCTGTCACCTTTATCAATAGATTGACTATCTCTAGTCGCATTCCACTGTATGGAGGGATTTGCTATTCCTGCTAGTCCTGTTGAGCCACAGCAGTAACTAGGAAAACAACGTGGGTTTAGTTATGGTGTCAGCTTCATTGTGGTTGCAAGCTGTTGGCTGTGAGCTATAAGATGAATCTGATTGTGACCTGACTTTCAAACTGGTCATTTAAAAGCTTCCCATTCCTTGTTTCCTATATGATCTAAGGAGAAACCCGGATGCATGATCAGGGAAAATGCTTGGTGCCATTTTGTACACATTCATGAATGTTAAAAGCATTCTGATCATAGCAAAATTCTTCAGCAATTGTTTCTACTCAACTGTTACTACAGCAAGTAGATCCTTTGGGTTCCAAAGTAGGAGAGTAGTATTAAGAGCTTGCATTGATGTACTTCAAGAAATAATTTATTTTCTATGACTCAGTGGCAGTATATTGATTTTTTTTTTTTTTTATGGTCTGGTATTTCTTTAGTTAGAAACACAACATTTTAGTATTTAAAATGCTAATTAAAGAATCCAGCTGTTAGACCTGTAACTTGCTTTTATGCAAGGACTGATTGAGTTTGTACTTAGCCAGTTTTGTCATGGAGCAAAAGCCAGTGCATCCCTCAGCCCTTGGGGTAATGGCTAGAGGTGGTAGCTTGAAAGCCTACTGAAAAGCAGTTACTGAAACTAAGCGTGTAAGTCTCTATATCATCACAGGTTTTTCATTTTTTTCCAGTGGTTAACTTAATACTACACGGGAACACTGTTTTAATTGTAAACATTAAAGGCCTTTGCATGTGTGTTCAGTGTGTGTGCAGCTTCTTTATGTCATTCTAGGCTATCAGGATTTGCTGCGTTCGTTTTCCTTAATGGTGCAATGACAGATAACTGGCTTGGCAATGGACATGCAGGTAAGTGCAGTGCAGTTTCTTAAATAATAATCTTATGGAACTTTCTGACTGCTTAATGACTATAGAGAGCATTATCAGCTAACTGCAGAATGTAGTTAGGCTAGGCTGGTTTAGTTTATCTCAAAATGGATGACTGCGTGTGTATTGTTAGTTTTTTAGTTTGAGTCAGCCTCAGCTAACGTCAGAAGCCTGTATCTGACTCTGCCACTCCTAATCTAGTTAGGGAGTCAGGGAATGAAAATTGGCTCTTTGTGCAGTCGGGAACTGTTCAGCCTTTTACTAAAATGGACACAAGATGTCACCTATACACCATTTCCTTTAATGAATGTGGATCTGCATTCTTACTTTTTTTATCTAAAAATGATTCTTGGGTTCATTAGTCTTCTCAAATTCAGTGTGCCTTTTACTTGCTAGCAGAAGAGCTTTTTGTGAAAAATGCAGCTTCAGATTCAGATCAGAACTGTGAAGTTCAAAATCCTCACAAGAGCGATTAAAACAGTGATCTAAAGAACCAGTTTCAATGAGGTAGTTGTTATCCCCACACATATTAAGGGGGCAAACGAGGGAGTGTTTCTTGAACGCAGTGGAGTATCAGATACTGTGTATCTTCAGCATGCCTCTGCTGTTCTCTCCTCGTCTTACTCTATTCCTATCACCCGAAGCCTGCACCAATATCTCTAATATTCTCTGCAATATTGTCTTGGCATTTATTATCAGGCTCCCCTGGTAGGCAAAAATAGTAATTGTGCATATGCAGTCAGGAATGAGTTCTGTTAAGGGCTGTCCGTAACTTTGCACTTAAACTTTTTTTGCTGTGGGGAAGACGCAACAGGATTCTTCAAAAGCGTGCTGAATTCACCCATATGTTATATGAATTTTAGCCTGATTGTGTTGATCTGTATCTTTTTAAAACGTACTTAAAGTGTTTTTATATCTGCATACAAAGCATTACTTAAAAGAGAATCGGTTGTTTGATGTACAAATGTGTTTTTCTTAGAAAGGCTTTTTTGCTTGTGCTGAGTGGCTTGCTTGAAAGTGAGAAGGTAGAGTAGGATAGCTGAGCCTCTATTCCCAATTCTATTCCATTTCAGAAATTAGATAATTACTTTGTTTTTTCCAGTAAAATAAAAATGTTTTTAATAAAGACCTTAAGGTGCTCGTGTGACAAGTCAGACTGCTGGTGCCCCATAGGGCTGGACTGATGCTGGTGCGCCAGATGTAACGTGGAACCTGTTAAATAGTGGCACCCCCGAAGGGATGAGTTTTAACCTCTCTTCCAAACACACAGGCTGGTTTGTAGCATTAAACCAGTTCATGGAAATGTTGCTGGCAGTCTGTCTTCAGTTTAGAAATCAGCAGATAGCTAAAATAGTGCTTTATATTTGTTTCACTAGAAATAGACCAATCAGCTAATACACAGTCACAGTGAGGAGGTATTTGAAACAGTCTCATCTCCTGGCATGGAGCACAGGTTAACTCTGAGTTCTACCAAGGTAGTTTTGCCAAGGCTGGCTGCAATGCTCTGAAACGGTGATTTCCTGGTGCACCTTCCCTCTGTGGTGCTCTGAGGGGGACGTAGCTGACACACCAGAAGGTCGGGATGTCATCCAGAGAGACCTGGACAAGCTGGAGAGGTGGGCCTGTGTGAACATCATGAGGTTCAACAAGGCCAAGTGCAAGGTCC